ATATATACATGTATAGATATATATATATATTCTTTGATAACATGTTTCGATTGCATGTTTTGTAACGCTGAAGTTGAAGCTAGCAAAATCGTATTCGATAAAAATCTTCTTGGGAGGATCATTAAGACTATTTTGTCTTATTTTGTCTTGCCTCGTCGTATCTTAACTTCTCTTATTCTTTCTTATCATTATTTTCGTTTCTCAACTTTTCTTCTTTTATAGTATCCTATCGTATCTTAATTTGTTTTTCTTATCCCATCGTTTCTTGAATGTTCTTATTTTACCTTATCTCATTGTATCTTAAATTTTCGGGGTTTTTTAGTCTATCTCATCGTATCTTAGTTTACATTTTTTAAAAATCTTTATAGTGCAATAAAAAGAGGATAGACCTTTATAGATTCATTGGTTATATCTATTAGCACCCCATCTCACTGATTTTTTTTTCTTTCTTTTTGTTCTTTTTCTCCTTTTCTTTTTTATTGCTTTTTTGTTTTGTTTTCTTATCTTTTTTTTCTTTTTTCTTTGGGAAGAATGAGTTGGGGGGGGGGGGATAGTGAAGGTTTGAGGGGAGGGGGGTGGGTAGGCGTGAGACAAACTCCGAGTGGCATTCTAATATCGTCTCGCTCACTTTTATATTTGGGTGGCCGGTCTTGACCTTTCAACGTTATTGTTTCGGTCCGAGAAAATATAAACAGACAATCTCCGAATAACACGGGGCGATTTCACCTGGGCGTCTGTCAACAGAGATGGACAATCGGGCTCCGTGTGCCCAGGGAATGTAGTTGATTATGAGAGCAAATACTGGAGGGTCAATAGCGGAATCGCCTCAGCACCTGAGGGGGGAAATTGTGATGGCCCATACCCCCACTGTGGTTGTTCTTTATTTTTTTTGGTAGTCTTTCGATTTTTGTCTGATTTTTAAAAATGTTGGTAGCGAAATAGAGAGAAAGAGAGAGAGAGAGAGAGAGAGAGAGAGAGAGAGAGAGAGAGAGAGAGAGAGAGAGGGGGGGGGTTATCGGTGCTAGGTCTCTTTCCATTGCTTCCAGTGAACTTTGGTTTCTCTTATTTGTTGTAGTTGTCACCAACCATTAGATCTAGACTGCACATTAAAAAAGGGACGTCTGTACAGGGGGGAACATTGGCAAGGAACCGGAGCTAAAAATAAAAGGAGGGGTGAGTGGGTTTGTATTTATAAAACTCTTTGTACTTAAATAGTTATAAACAATACTGAAAATGCCTTGCAATAAAAAAATAAGGCAAAACCCCAAAAGCTTAAGACAGGAAAACAAATACGGTCTACAAAATGTATTTCTTTATCTGACTGTCCATCGCTTTCTTCGTTCGCTTGTTTGTATGTTTGTTTGCTTGTTTGTTTATGTGAGTTTGTTTGTTTATTAGTTTATTTTTGTGCGCTTGTTTGAGTAAAAAGCAACACATCAACACATCAACACAATAACGGTACTTTAGTGCAGGGAAAAGAAGAACAGAGAGAGAGAGAGAGAGAGAGAGAGAGAGAGAGAGAGAGAGAGAGAGAGAGAGAGAGAGAGAGAGAGAGAGAGAGGAACAAAAAAGGACCAGAAAGAAGCAGGACCAACCTGCAGCAGCAACGTCCCCAAACCACCAACCCAGATATTATTATGAGGGACTTGAGATCCACGCCCAGGCGCAAGATAGGTCGGCCAAAGACCAGACGATCTGGAAGATAAGCCAGACATCTTCTGTAACGAGGGACGTAATAATGCTAAAGGCCGTCTCCACTTGGTGTGGGGGGGGGGGATCTGTTGATGTTGTTTTGAAGGCTCGAATAAAATTATTGTAAAAAAAGAATTAAAAAAACAACTAAAAACAACAAGGAAATGAAAATTCGCATGCAGTTATTCTCAGATTTGATTTTAAAATATATCATGGACTCCTGCATTAATTTGATTTTGTATGCTTCCCATGAAGTTGAGATTATTCTAGAATGCTAAATGCTATAACATGTAGATCTGGGGTAATTAATGTAACACTGATTGCTAAACGCGGAGATTGCTTTTGAGCGGGCATTTACACTTTCAAATGTTATTTTATTATTCTTCGTTATTATGAGCTGTTTGTTTTTATTTAGCCAGTCTGTTTGTATAAATTTCATTTAGTCATTAGTATGAACGTGAGTGCTGTTTCGCTATTTTCAAAATAACAATGAGTGCATAAATGTTTTCACGAACAAGCAGGTGGAACAAACGTATTGTGTGTAGGCCTACCTCAGTTCAGGCTACGAA